TTTTAGCACTTTACACTTATACAGGGTGTCCCATAAAGATCTGACAAAATGAAATAACTTTTGTTCTAATCAATATTTAAAAAAAATTATGGTATTGCTTATCACTGATCAGTCATAATTTCAATACCTACTTAATTAGATCTATTATTTTTTATCTGTTTAAATTGGTACATGTATTCATACATACAACATAAAAATATTGTAAAGTTTTAGTTTTATTTTAATCTTTATTAAAATAATTTGTAAAAAAAAATAAGTACCTTATAGCCTTATATAACCTAACCTTATGCTAGTGGATATATACATATATTGCCKTTTTTTTGAGGTGTTAGTGTTGTAATGCCTGGCAGTGACGTATTTAGGGGGAGGTATAGGGGTAAGGGGATAGATCCTTTTTGTTCTCTTATTTCTCTTATTTATAGTATTGTGATGTCGATGGTAAGTGAACTACCTCCTCCCTTTATGGAAATTAAATTCTTGTTCACGTATATCCCCTCTTGATATAATCCTAAATACGTCACTGATGCCTGGGGGTGTAAAAATGGTAAGTTCGTCTCTGTCTATTGCTGAAAATGGATGATTAGTCAACAATAATATTATTGATGTCTAGAATTATACATCAATTGTCCTGGAAATATTGATATGTTTATAAAAAAATCATGAAGTGTAACATACTTTGACTTGTTGACGAGGGCTTTGCAAACCCCAAGTCCCCTATATACCTCATTGACTGTAATAATATTTATCTTCATAATACGATCTACATTTGGATACTTCCCAAATATATCAATTTCTCGTCCAGCTTTGTCTAAGATAACCAATATATCATTAAACTTAGAACTTTTGTTCTCGTCACCGCACTGTTTTTTTTCGTCACTCCTGCACACTGTGCTATTCAATGCAGCACCCATCATTTCACCTGTCTGTGTAGATATTGCCATAAGCGATACTCCTAAGTATAGAAAAAAAATGTAATCATAAAATGTGGATGATACTTCAATTTACAATAGACACACATTTCTTATTATTCGGTTTTTTATACTAAGGCGACTGTCCTTACTGTTAATTTATATTTTAAACAAACATCAATAGTAAATGTTTCATAATAATAAATAAAAAAAATATAACATAGTGGCCGTACTGATTCATATTATATTATACAAATTAGTAAACATGTTTGATGTCACTTTTAAATTACAACAAAAATCGATATTCTTTGTTAAAACAAAGTCCATCCCAATTTCTACTTCAATTGCCAATAAAAAGAATCTGTGTTTATAAATTTGGTTACCAAGTATTTCTTATCATTTTTTTGGGGTTACACGAATTTATTCAGGCTATACTGTAACCTGAAATAAACCGAGTAACATAATTCCATGCTTGGCACACAATTACCGTGTGAACCAACATTATAATTATTTGATAAAGTATTTTAACCAAATGAGTTTCATCGCTCAACACTAAAATATATTAAAACAGGTTATGACATTTTTTATGTCCATTTTTCTCCATAAATGAGATACTGATGTTTTCCTCCAAATATTTTTTTTGACTAAGATCTAACCATTTTCTTATACCTACATATTAAAATATTTAATCAATATTTGAATATAGAAAAACCAAATATGTGGATCAATTTTGTGAAACAAATTCAAACAGATATTTATTGTATAATAGTAAGTATTCTTATTCCAAAAAAAGCRGGTAAGTCGTGTATGTCGCTCTGCTGTACAGTAGGTTACAAGTGGGTTACTGTAATGAATGGAATTAAATTTGAATCCAATGATATTATATCATTGTATACAAAAAACGATTCTGAGCGAAGACGGTTTATCTGTCTAGGATATATTATAKATTATTAAAAATTTTCAAATCTTAGATTTAAAAAGAAAATTTTTTATGAATTTCTAGCTTAAAATAATTTCTGTATT